GATTGCCCGGAGCTATTGGCAGTGGTCCCACAATATCCAATCCCCAAAGCGCGAACGGCCAAGGACTAGTAAGGGGGAGCAATTCTCTGGCTGGCTGGTGGATTTGGTGAGCGAATTTCTGACACTTTTTACATCGACGAACGTATTTCTGCGCGTCCGCCTGCATGCATGGCCACCAGTAACCTTGGGAAATTGCTCGGTAAGCCAAGGATCTGCCCCTAGTATGGCTTCCACAGATGCCCTCATGAATCTCATAGAGGAAAGTTTCCACTTTGGAGGGATGGACACATTTTAGATACGGCCTGATAAAAGACTTCTTGTATAAGGCTCCGGACGGCGAGAGCCAAAACCGCGCTGACTTGGCCCGGATCTTGTTGGCAGCCTTCTTTTCTTCTAGTAGAATTCTATCTTTTAGGAAAACGATGATGGGGTCTATCCAGGAAGGTCCGAAGTCGGTATAGAGTACCTCGGACACTTTTGGCTCCTCAATGCTTGGCCGAGGTAAGAATTCTATCATCAAGGGATTAGGGAAAACTGTTTGCGTAGATACAAGGCCGGCCAGTTCATCAGCCGTGTTATTTTCTTCACGGTTGATTTGTTCCACTCTTATTGTGGCGAACTTCTTGATCTCTACGCGCACCAGCGCCTGGTACTTGGCCATTCTTTTATCCTTGGCTTCATACTCCCCAGAAACCCGATTGATCACCAATTTGGAGTCGCTGAACACCATGAGAACCGAAGCTTTCATCCTTAATGCACTTCTCAGTCCGGCAAGGAGGGCTTCATACTCCGCCTCATTGTTGGACGCTGGGAAGCCGAGCGTAATTGCTTGCTTGATGACCAGCCCGTCTGGGGAAGTCAGCACGATGCCCAGCCTGGCGCCATGCCTGTTGGAGGCCCCATCGATGAAAAGCTTCCACATCTCGCCAATGAACAACTTCCAGCAATCCGATGGGTGTTGCGAGCTTCTCAACTGCAAGGTTCTGGTCGGTTCATTTCGGTTCCTTTCCTTGTCTTGGCCGGGTTCATCTCTCAATGAGCTATCCGGCTTCTCCAGTTCGGTCGCCATTTGCCCTTCTTCCACTTGCGAGCCAACACTGGCCTCCATCACCTGAACCACGGGCTGTGCCAAATCTGCACTAGCCGAATCAACTGGGCAAACCGGATACATTCCAGGGGCAAACTCCGCCACAAAGTTGCAAGGGCTTGAGCCTTGATTGCGGTGCGTGGTCGGAACTTAATGTCATACTGCCCCAATTCCACAGCCCATTTCAAAATTCTCCTAGTAAAGTCTGCCTTTTCAAAGAGCACCTTAAGTGGAAACTCGGTGAGCACCACTATTATGTGGGCATAAAAACAATGCGCCAGCTTTCTCGAAGCCATCATCAATGCCAGGGCTAACTTTTCTAGCGGCAAATATCTTGACTCAGTAGGGAGCCAGGTCTTGCTTACGTAGAAAATGGGCAAGTGCTGGATGCCTTCAGCGCGGACTAGGACGGCGCTCACTACATGTTAAGAGACTGCCAAGTACAGATATAGTTCTTCACTCGGTTTTGGCGTGACTAGGATAAGTGCTGAGGAAAGGTACATTTTTAGATCCACTAGTGCACGATCACATTCGTCATCCCAGAAGAACTTGGCCTTCAAAGTTTTAAAGAAGGGCCTGTAACGATCTGAAGACCGGCTTATAAATCTGTTCAGCGCGGCTGCCATCTCGGCAAGATGTTGCACGTCCTTTGTAGAGTTTGGGCGCTCCAGCTCTTGTATGGCCTTGATTTGGGATGGGTCGGCTTCAATCCCTCGGTTTGTGACCAGAAAACCCAGAAACTTTCCAGTGCTGACTCCGAAGGCGCATTTGGAGGCATTCAAACGAAGCTTGTGGTGTTTAAGTATAGCAAACATCTCCGCTAGATCGGTGAGGTGTTGGGACTTCTCCTTACTCTTTACCACCATATCGTCGATATAGGCCTCCATGGTACGGCCCAGAAGTGGAGCGAAGATCTTAGTCACCATCCTTTGAAAAGTTAGCCCGGCGTTTTTCAGTCCGAACGGCATGACTTTGTAACAATACAAGCCTCTAGGAGTAGTGAACGATGTGATCTCTTGGTCTGGTTTATATATGGCTATCTGGTGGTAGCCGTGATATGCATCCAGGAAGCTAAACCTCTGATGGCTAGCGGTCAAGTCCACCAGCTGGTCGATTCGTGGGAAGGGGAAGCTATCCTTTGGACATGCGCGGTTAACTGTCTTATAGTCAACGCATTCCCGCCATTTGTTGTTTTTTTTTTCGAAACCACCACCGTGTTGGATATCCATCGAGGGTATTGCACTTCCTCTATTGCCCCTGCTTCCAACAAGTTCTTGACTTCTTCCGCCACCACCTCAGCATGGTGCAAGGCCAAGCGGCAGGTCCTCTGGATGACCGGCCGTGCATTAGGGAAGACATTCAACTGATGGAAAATGAAGCCAGGGTCGATGCCAGGCATATCGTAAGGCGTCCACGCGAAGGCTTCCATTTTGGAAATCAAAAAGTCAACGTACTCATGTCGCTCGACGTTAGACAGGGATGAGCCCAAAAGAAAGAACTTGGTTGGATCGTTCTCATCAACTCGCACCTTCACCAAATCTTCGACCGATTTTTCCTCGGCCTTTTTTCCTACGTCTTCCAGGACTTCCTTTCCCTCCGGGCCCTCTATCATTTGAACGAACCCTTTGGCGGCCTGGCTACCATTCACCGCAACGAAGCACTGTTTTGCCATTACTTGGTCTCCTCAAACCTCCTCTATTTGCCCGGTTGGTGCCGGGAAGTGCAGAACTTGATGGTAGGTCAATGCTACTGCTTACATGGCGTGTAACCAGCCTCTGCCCAAAATTAAGATGTAGGTGGATGGGACCTTGAGCACCCAGAATTCTACTTGCTTTATCACTGAACCCGCTTTGACCGGTAATATGATCTTCCCTACCGGCCATTCTGGCTGAGAGTTGAAGCCAACCAAGGGAGATGTTGCAGGGGCCAAGTCTCTGTCCTCCAGCTTCATCTACTTGAATGTGTCGTAGTACATGATTTCGACCGAACTCCCCTGGTTGATGAAGATCCTCTTGATGTCGAAGTCTTTGATGCGAAGAGTTACCACTAAGGCATCATTGTGGGACATCTGAATCCTCTCCAAGTCTTTGCTTGAAAAGGTAAGGATGTCCTTCTCCTCGGTCTTCCCTTTCTTTACTGCGGGCTGGACTGAGAGCACTTCCCTCATGTGCTCGGCCTTTTTAATCATCCCTCTTAGCTCGCAGACCCTTGCCAGTTCAATGATGCCATGGATGACATTGATTATGCCTTGGGGCGTTGCATCTAGGGCGGCTAGGCCGTTTGGCTCGGTTTGTCCCAGTGGCGCGGCTTTCATACCCCCATCTATGTATTGGTCAAGATGCCCCGCCGCCACCAACTCCTCCAAGTGTTGCTTGAGCAGCAAGCAGTCCTCCGTTCGGTGCCCCCGTTCTTCATGGAAGGTGCAGCGATACCTCGAATTGAAGCCTCTTTGTGCATTCCCCAGCTTGGTCAGCCAACGGATGAAAGACTCAGCTCTGATTTCACTCAGTATGCGGTAAATAGGGATTTTAAAGACCGTGGTGATACCGGTTCATGCCCTCAATTTTCTCTTGGTGTCCACCTCTTCATCATGGGGGGCGTTAGCTCGGTCATTTCTGCGATCTTTGTTTCTATCATCGCAGTTTAAGCCACGATGTTGATCTTTTAACCGGTCAGTTGGGCGGTTCTCCTCCTGCCCGACCGAGTGAACTTTCCCCGCCACTCTTCTGTCCGCCACGACCGGATTAGCCTTCTCGGTCGCGGAAGCAGTATCATCCTCCACACGGACGTGTTCATTAATCGGCTGCATCAATGACTCCATTGTTGTGGGCTGGTGCATAGTAAGTGAATCTCGCAACCTATGTCCGATTGGGAGACCCCGCTTGTATTGAGTGATAGCCAGATTGGTAGGGCAGTCGAGGATCTCATTGTAAGTTTCCCAGTACTTCGCATTGTATGCCTTCAACGAACCTCCAGACTCCATCTTGATGCCCAAGAGATGGTCGACCTCCTTTGGTGTGCGAGTGCTGGTTTTGAATCTGGTGGCGAAGGTTTCCGCTAATTGCTGCCACCCCTCGATACTCCCCTCTGGAAGCCTCTCGAGCCACTTCAGTCCCAGTTCCCCCAAGCTTGCTGGGAATATGAGGCACATCAAGGCGTCATTACGTCGGTGTCCAACCATTACTTGCCGGTAATGACTCACGTGCATGCACGGATCCGTCTTGCCGTCGTACAAAGTGAACTTAGGCTGGTGGAATCCAGCAGGGAGTGGTGTACTCTCGATTTCTGGAGACAGCGGCGTAGCCGTGAGTCTCGCCAGTTCTTTGTCCACCAGTGCAGGGGCCACCATCCTGGGCACTGGCATCGCTACCTCCTCACTACAATGGACTTGGGTGCTCAGCCTCTGCAACGCCAGCAATCTCTGGGTCTCTCGACGGCGCGCCCTCTCCTTCAACACATCCCTCAGGTCTCTGGAATGGGTGGAGAAAGAGTATTGCGATGTCGAGGATGGGCGCGAGGGACGGTAGGTGTTGTCGCTAGTGGGGGACCTGCCCTCCCTTGGGTCGGAATCCCCAACCCCATAGTTTTTGGTAATAGAAAGAGAGTGCATCCTTTCATGGCGGCGACTGCTAGAACGAGGAGATGGGGTGTGCTCACTGAGGTTGCCCTCTCCCGCAACACCCTTTCCCTTGATCTGGCATTTCAGCACCTCCATCTCAGCCGCCATCTTGTGAATGAGGGCATCCTGGTCTTTGAGTTTGTGTTCCAGGCATTATGCACGGGACTCCCCCCACCGTTGACGGCCCTCTAGACTCTTCGAGCGATTAGTACTCCTTCCGCGTTTGTCTCGCGCACCTCTCAAAGAAGTCTCTAGGCCCGCCATGGCTGGAACACTCGGGGGGCCTTCTCTCCGTCAGACAGACTCTGGTGTGACACCATCGACGACAGATAGTGGAGTTTCGTCATTGTTGACCATGGAAATGGTCGAAGGAGCTTGAAGAACAAGGTTTGAGTATCAAAGACTTCCCACAGACGGCGCCAATTGTACGAGGGTGAAATATCCTTTGCTTTCCATACTCCTTGGACTCAAGCTTCACGTGACGGCGTCTAACTTGGCAACAAAGAAACGGTGAGCTTCCTGGCAGTGGGTCGCCGGATAGACCCTCTGACGATCAAGTCAGATCACTTGAGGAAGAAGAATACTGTTAGAGAGAGAGAGAGTTGTTCAAAGTTACATACCTCTAACGTTTATCTTCCATTCCTTTTTCTAGGCTGGCCATGCAGCCTTTGGATTGTGCGCGCAGTATCTCTGCTATCCTTCCCTGGACAGGTGGCAGTGCTTGACTCTCACCACCATACGCGTGTAAAGGCCAAATCCTCCAACCAATACATGCAGAACTGCCAAACGGTAATGATGCGTGCCTGGAGCAGATTTCCTCTCCCTTACGCCATTGGCCCAGGTGGCACACTTCATCGAAGTACCACGACCGACCTACCCCATGTGGAGAATCGCCAACACAAGCAACACAACCGAGCTGTGTCTCGCCGACCTATCCCTTGGAAAGAAGCAAAAGTATGATGCTCATGGCCAAGCTACGTGGGACCGGTCCATCCTGGCTGACCGGCCGCGAGGCATACCAGCCTTTTCCCGTTCTACCTTCATTCTAGGTTATATGAAGTCGGGCCATCTCGGCTAACCAGTCGGAGGCATGCCAGGCCTCGCCCCGTCCTCAGTCTAGTCCGGGTTGTCCTTAACTTGGTTGCGTCATACCACTGCGTGCCCAGCCGAATGTTCAACCATGGCACTGCTCGACGAGGCCCTGGACCACGCCTGGTGGGTCAAACTACCCCGACCATGCAGATTAGGTCGGAGAGCCGCACCAGTTGAGAAAACAGGTCTGCTCCCGCGAGATCCACCCCAACCGGCGTTACCGTAGGTCGGTCGTACCAGTCCGGCGCAAATCTCCCTCTCATAAGTTATAGCATTCAGAAAAAATTATAGATATTTGTGTCTCAACCGACCAGTTTGGTCATATGAGCTAGTAAAATGGAATGATCTCGTTCATATTCCACGGGATAAACCAAAAGATTGAAAAATACAAGATAGTATGAGGAGAAGTCAGAACTGCACAAGGATAGAGCTGTTGTAACTGTATCCAACACTCACATGGTGAGAAGTAGAGCGAATGCTCATTTTGTTGGAATAAAAACCTAGTTTAGTCATGTGAGATGGTGAAATGGAATAATCTCATTCATATTCCAACGGATAAACAACCAAAAGACTGAAACAAATGATACAGTATGGAGAGAAGCAAGACCTGCACAAGGATAGAGCTGTTCTAATAGTATCCAACACCCACATGGCAAGCATTTTGGTACTCAACTCTAGTTTATTGGCTTAAAATAAGCCCACAAATAAGATAGTGCTTAAAAAAACTAGTTCCTTTGGCATATTTTTGGCTTTTAGGATTTCCTAATGGCTTTTTAAAGTGGCTTAAATTGATTTTTTGGTGGGAAATGAGCATGACAAATGACTTGAAGCTTTTTAAGCAAAATAGGCTTATAAGTCATCCCAAACGAAGGGAAGTGAGGGGTTTCAAACAATCACTAAATGGATGATAGTGAGTTTTATAAACTGGCTCAATGCATAAATAAAATAATTTCCCAAACCATTGACCATATTTTTTTTTGATAGTCTAATGTCATCAATATGTAATCTTTTTATGTGGAAAGAACCATAAATTCAGCAAATTTGTTGACGTGTAGGAAGCAGGCGTAATTTCTAATATTCATTTTGACAGGCTTTCACACTATCCAAAAAAAAAATTTAGCACCTGCAAAAGTAATGAGGATGATCTCATACTCTTCACCAACTTTGACTTCAGTCAGACCCACTGTCTTAGGCTCTATAGAGAGAAAGGAGGATTCGATTTCATCTTGCTTTGGAACCTCAACATTAGGAATAAATTCAAAATACCCAATATTAGGCAACACAGCGAAAGTGGCCAACTCAGGGGGCAATTTCAGGTTCATATTTGCTCCAATCCATCCCCAAGAAGACCCATAATCAACACTCAGCAGTGGCAGCTCACCCACATAATGCCTCAATTGTTTCACATAAGGTTCCATTGACCCGGTCATGATCCCATAAATGTACTTTGCATTGGGAAATAGCTCCGGTATTAATCCATACCAATTACTTAATCTCGAGCATTTTTTATGGATCTTATCAGCCAATTCTGGGTTTGGCTTGAGCAATTTTAACTTAACTGTTCGTATGGATGGGACAGTGATTTGGCTGGTGAGAACCCCTTCTCGGATGTCAGTACAGAGTTCTTCCCAAACTTGTTCAAAGGTTCGGAAAGCATAAACAATGCTGTAGGCAAATGTAGAGGACACTACTTGGACTTCATTCCAGTAAATGAGTCCGCTTAGAAGATGGCAGTATAAGGATTGCTGGAAGTCGGTATAGCGATCCCGGTTGTTCCTTTACTGTTCCGTTGAATTCCGGACTCAGTTCCGTGAAGTGGTAGTGGTATCTACCTTGTTGTTGTCCTTTAATTCCCTTTGATTGAGTTTTAGGATGTTTTGAGGAAGGTTGTTACAGGTTGGTTAGGCCTTGGTTTCAAATTCCTTGTTGTTAAGTTTTTAGGCGGTCCGCTCGAGCGGGTCTTCTTGCGCTCGAGCGGAGATTGCACACTTCCAGTATTTTCGTGTTCCTGCAAAACTTCTGCAGGTGTGATTTTTACGCTCCAATAGGCTTGAGCCATCTCTGCTGTAGACCAAAATGCCCTTACTGGAAGAACACGAAAGCCATCAGAAAGTAGAGAACTCATAAAGGGGTGCTAATCTATGTAAATATATCACATTCGAACATTCTTGACCAAATGTAGAATGTAATTAGTAATAGTTGTTGGGTTTGAATTTTGGATTTTAGTAATTGATTATTAGATTTTGTTGACTTTTTTTAACTATTTTAAGTTAATAGTCTATTTACATGAGATTTACATGAGTGGTCTCATTACTTTTTGTTTTTTGGTTAATGGTTTGTTTTAAGTTAATAGTCTATTATACACCAATTACTTAATTTTTTTAAATGTTTCAAAACTTTAAAGTTTTATTACTTTTGTTTTACCCATCTGATTTTCATAAAATTTAGGTTTACAAAATGTATTTGCTGAGATCTATTCAAGGAAAGTTTATATTGAATATCAAATTTAATTTCTCTTTAAATTTGGTTACAATTATTTGTCTCCCTCTAAGATGACTTCACATAGAAAACTAAGATATCCTTGCCTTTTACCATGGACAACATCAGGTTGTATTTTAGTGTGACCTTCTTAAGGTTTTGTTTCAAAGCAAGATGGAACCCTTTAATTATGGATAATGACCTAATTACATTGTTTGATTAATTGAGATAATTAATTGTGAGAAATGAGGAAATGAAATGGAATTGTTGAGATTGGGAATATATGGGAAAAAGGAGTGTAGTTGAACTATTTATCACTCACCAAATTGAAATGTTGATTGAATATCCATTGTGCATTTATTTTCTGTTTAGAAATAATTGCTTTGGGCTATCGGTGGAGGATAGTCGTGATTGTTGTAGACAATGCATAATGATTAGGCAAACGGAAACTAATCAATGGAATGTGTCATGGAATTTGACGGTTGCAGAATACATTAACTATATGTATTGAGTGATTGTATATAGAACCAATGTGTTTGTATACGTTATGTGTAGAGGAGGAGATGGGGGATGTACTCCGCGGTTTAGGGGAAGATAGGGGATGTACCTCTAAACCGGATAGTGTTGGGAGAAGATAGGGGATGAACTCCGTAGATACAGCTCATATGCTTGTCTTGAGAAGTGAAGATAGAGCTTATATGCTTATCTTTGTGAAGTATAGATATAGCTAATACGCTTATCTGTGAATGTGGGATATTGTTGTTATACATATCTGTTGAGAATGTGGATATAGCTTATATGCTTATCTGTGAATGTGGGATATCGTTGTTATACATATCTGTTGAGATGATGATAGAGCTAACATGCTTATCTGTTGAAAAAGGGAAAATGAAAGGTAACTTGGACTCATGAGTCGTATGACATAAATATGTGATTTATGTGAATGTATCAGTGTTGGCCATCTATCAATTGCTAATCTTTTAGTCATTGTTCATGGTTGGTTTAGTGTATTTCTACTGGGCTGTGGCTCACCCTATATGGGAATATCATTTTCAGGTACAGGTAGCATGCCACCTCCAAGGATATAGCTTGGGAGGCTAGAGGCGGACATACTTTTGTCATTTTATTTTTGATGTATTACATGTAAATTCAAGCCAAGGGCTAAATATGTAAATGAGTTAGTACTCTTTTGTTGTAACCAAGTGTTAACTTGAAAAGCTGTAAGCCCATAGGGCATTTTGCTTTTGTTGTTAACATGTAATACTTTTGTAATGAAACTCTGATGAATGTAAGGCAGTGGGACTTTTATATATCAATGCATATTTATTTGATGGGTTTAATGTAGTTATTTTGAGGGCGTTACAGTCGGGACCAAATATCACTTCATTAGGGCTACAACATTGGGTCCGCATAGCCTTCATTGTATTCTTGAACAGCGAACCACTAAACATGTTCGTAGTAGCAGTTCCTGCAGCCAGACCCCCTTTCATTTTGAATTGCTTGCTGCTGTAAATGAACTGCAAGGCCTTTCCATTCCCAATAGGAAATTCCCTGCAAACCAGTAGTTCTTCATATCAGCAGATATCTTATTAACGTCATGCACAAGGGAGGAAAAGCAGAAACACATTAAACGCTAATATGGACAATGTAGAGAATTTTAAAACATAAGGAAAGGTGGATGGGAGAGTTTGTGTCCATTTGTATGGGTGTGGAATTTCCAAACCAATGGCTCAAATTTGTTTTTGGATGTTCAGAAGAATGAGAGAGAGAGAGAGAGAGAGAGAGAGAGAGAGTGTATATACACACATGCCTCACAAAGATTAAAAACCATCTTAGAAACTTCTACACAGAGGATGAAAAAACAGTAAAATCATTTAATCAACTGTAAGACTACAATTGGCAAATGGGGAGAATTTTAAAACAAAACTTGTTATTGCCTAGTGACGAGCATTAAACGAATTGAATTCCCTAAAAAAAAAAGGAGCATCTTGATTGTGGAAATGTCAAAGTCGGAAAAATGCCTAATTGACATATTCATGAATGCTTTCTAAACAAAGAAAACAAAATTTAATAGACAAGTGAAATGTAACTTCCAAAACATCTAATAATCACTTACAATTCCAACCAAATATTTTTAAGGTCAACTTGAAAGAGAAGGGCATCTGATACTAATATGAACTAAAAATCCTTTTGCAATAAACAGAGGAATATAACCTGTTTCTAAATGCAAAAGATGTCTTATATATCTGCATAGTGGATTCCATCAATTCGTTATTGAACGGGACAAACTTGGGCTTTCCCTGAGTGGTGCCAGAACTGCAAGAAACAAAGAATTGACAGACGCTATGAACTTCACATCCAAACAATTTTTATCAGAAAAAAAAGTCGCTAAAAAAAGCATCGAGAAAATAACAATTAATTAAAAGTACCTTAATGAGATGGTTGTTATTGGTTTTCCCGTAAGGATGGGGGAAGTATCACCATCCACCATTCTCTGAATGTAAGGTTCCAAATCCTTGTGAGTGACGAGGGGGACAAAAGCCTTGAAACTCTCATGGTCAGTTCTTCCATTAAGACCCCATTTCTTTAAGTACTCTGTGCTGCCATTTTCTTCCAGTATTTTTTGCAGGGTCTCTTTCTGAACTCTCTCAGCATCCTTTGTTAGCATCTCGAATTCTTCTATGACTTCCTCAGGATCAAATTTTGTGTCCATCTTCTCCAACATCCTCACAGACCTTGAATGGCTTGCTACAATTATCAAAGGACTTATTGAGAAATACTTAATATGTAATTCAACACAAAACCAATTTTGAGAAAGTCTACATGACTTCTAAAACATGAGCATACAATTCGAAGAAGCAATTTCGACAAAATGTAGAGAACATAGTAACACTATTTCATTTTTGCAAAACACTGCAAAAAAAAAAATTTTTTGATTGATAAAAAACGAGGAAGAAATAACACAAGCCTTTTAGAGAGAGAGAGAGAGAGACGTTAGTTCTTATTTTCTTGGCTCATTTTTGAGTTGGAAGAATATGAAGTGATGGAAGATTCTTCGGGGGTTCGCATTATATAGAAGTTTCAGAATGCCATCCACCAAAAGCGCCAAATTGTTTCCAAATATTACCCCCTGAGTTTTGTTCGAATTATGAAAACACCACTGTTGTTGTCTAATTACATATTTGTCCTTCAAGAATGCTTGATATTACGATATGACCGCCGGAATTCTCTAAATTGTGGGGACCTAAAAGCGAAGACACGTAAATATTGGAAATTTTGGATAAAGTTGGATTCCAAATAAATATTAGGGAAATTTTGATATTAATAAATTACTGTGTATGGGTCCCACACTCATGTGAGAGATTTGATAGAAAATTTGATAATTTATTTGGGGTTTATTGCATTTTTCTTTTGGAGATGGTTTGCTTAAAGGGTAATATTAGAGATATTAAATTTTCTACCAAACAAATAACCAAATATCTCACATGGTGTGGAGTTTGCAATTTAGTGGACCCCATATCCATGCAAGATATATAGTCATATATTTGGTAAAAAATTTGAGACCTATAGCATTTTCCTTGCTTAAAATATTAAGGGTGCACTTTCTAAATTTCGAGCGAAGACTTGGTCGCTCGAGTGACCAGACACAGAGAAACTACGCTCGAGCCAAGGAAGCCTTGCTCGAGCCAACAACCCAAAAGCACGCTCGAGCGAAAGAAAGCTCGATCGAGCGAAGAACTGAAACCCTCAGGTCTGTAACCAGACACACGCTCGAGCGAAGAACGAACTAACTCGCTCGAGCGAAGAAAAGCTCGCTCGAGCCAAGAATGCAAAGCTACAGGTCCAAACCAGACGCACACTCTCGCTCGAGCTACCAAATCCCGGCTCGAGCGAAGAACCAAAAACAACAGCTCGCTCGAGCGACAAACTCCTCGCTCGAGCGAAGATCCAAAATTCTTGACAGCAACACTTGATTTCTAAACCCAACCAACCTGAAACAAACCTGCCCAACACATCCTATAATTCCAAATGAGAAAATAAAGGACAACAACAACAATTATACAATGACAGAATCTACGGAACCTGAGTCCAGATACAATAATCAAATGGGAAAAGACCGGGGTCGCTATACGTACACCATGAGGTATTATCTTGCAGATGGTATCTATCCTCGTTGGGAAACGATTGTGAAAAGAATATCTCAACCTCAAGGTGCAATGAGACAACTATTTGCGATGATGCAGGAGGCATGTCGGAAGGATGTCGAAAGGGCATTTGGAGTGCTCCAAGCACGATTTAATATTGTCAGAGTTCCAACTAGAGGTTGGAGTGATGAGGATCTGTACTACATCATGAAGACGTGCATTATTTTGCACAATATGATCATTGAAGATGAGTGTGATATTCCAGCAAATGAATGTAGTGCAGCACAACTTGAGACTGATACCAGTAATACCTGTTGTCAAGTGTCACGCGATCCAAATGAGGAGTATGCTCAATTTATGTTGAATCGGCAGAGGATTAGATCTACTGAAGCCCATAACGCAATTCGTAATGATCTAATTGAAGACTTGTGGTCCCGAGTTGGAGAGTTAGAGTAAGTTTGTATTTTATCTTTTTTAATGTAGTTAATGTCATTTAATGTCCTTTTATTATAATAAAATTATCTTCATTTAATGTCAGTTAATGTATTTTTATCTTTTTATTGCCTTCATTTGAAAAAATATATTTATTTTTTTACATTATACTTTATTGAAAAATTTAAATTATAATAAAAGTTCGTCAACATTATACATTGCAAAAATATTACATTATTTTATAGAAAATACTCAAAAATAAAAAAAAAACAAAAAAAAACATGAAATTTCATTACAAAATAAAAATTACATTACAAATAAAGACTAATAATTACATCAAAAATTAAATGACATTGCAAAATTTAAAAATACATTATCCCGTAATTATTCATCAGGAGGCATGGGGAAATAGTAATTTAGGCTGCTGACATTTGAGGACCACTTGGCGAAAATCTCATTTTTTCGCATTGTGTAATACGCTTTCGTTTGAGGGTCCAAAAGAGAAATTCCTATAGTGCTTGAATCAATTTTTCCTTTTCTTTCATCTTTTTCCTTTTCCTTCTCAGCAAGGTGTTAGTTAAATGTCTCAAATTGTGTGCTCATTTTTTGGACTTTAGCTTCAATCACTTGATTTCTCTAAAATAATTCTTTTGAAGCTTTCCTACCCATAGGCTTTTTACCCCTTGCAGAGACACTGCCCTTACCAACAGTTAGATTGTTACCAACACTTGGACTAGTGTCATGTTTAAGAGAAATGCAGTAATCCATAGGGGAATCGAGGGCTGAATCAGGGAAAAACGGTGTATGTATCCTTGACTTCACCGTGTTCGTAGGAGCTAAATCTTGCCACCTGATATTGTTTTGCAAGATTGGCCAACAATGTTAAAAAACAAAATGTTTATTTTCATCTTGATGGTATAACAGTTTTGCTTGAAGCATCTGTATCAATAAAATATTAAATTCATTAATTAGTTAAATTTTATATAAAACAAAATAAAAAAAACTAACATAATAAATGCAGATGAAATCTTACTATATCAACTTGAGACATCCCACTTGGGTGTAGATTTTCGACTTGCGCTAAACACCCATGAAATTTGTTGCAACATTTCATGATTACACCCCTTCAAGATGAGATAGATACTTGTATTCTTGAGTGATCATTCTACAATGAACAATAATTTTCAAAAATTCTTCCACAAAAATGAGCATGAGATTGTGAATTCCCAACAATTGGGTCTTCAGTAATGTGACACCAAGCTCTATAAATTGCCACATCTTCTTGAATGGTGAATGATTTTCCTCTCTTTATTTTTGATGAACCTTTCATAGTGATTCTATGAAAAAACTAAGATGAAAATAATTTGTGAAGTTTGGCGTGAAATGAAATTCTGATAAAGAGAAGAGAAAAGAAAAATGAAATTTGAAATGTTTGGTGTGAAATGAAGTTGAGATTAAGGGTTTCTATTTATAGAAATACAAAATATGACCGTTTGTAGAAAATGACCGTTAATTTATAGTTGTTGTTTGAAAGAGGAAGAAAAAGAGTCGTTGCTCAAACCCATGTGCATTCCAATAACAAAATAGCATCGTTGGATTATATAATCCAACAGCTCATCTATCTATCTATCTAGAACAATCCATGTGCATTCCAATATCTATCTATCTATATACCCTCTTGCTGAGTCATCTCCCAAGTCTATCTATGACACCAAGCTCTCTCTTTATCTATCTCTTTGCTCTCTCTTCATTTCTCTCACCAGTCTTCATCTCTCTCTCATCTTTTCTCCTCTCCTTTCATCTCCTCAAATCTTCCAAATCAAACCCTAACCAAGCCATTCTTCCTCAAACTTTCTCTTTCTCTCTCTCTCTCTCTCTCTCTCTCTCTCTCTCTCTCTCTCTCACACACACACACACACACACACACACACACACACACATATACAGAAGCTCCCTGATCTCCCTCCTCTGCAAGCTACACAAACCTCAATTCGTCGCCATGGATTTGTATACTTTTTTCTCGATCTAAAACAGAGAAAGTTTAGATCAGCTCAGATCTGACCCCACGCATGAGATGATAGTGGTTTTTGTGTCCATTCATCAGAGTCCATTAATTGAAATACCAAGAAAATTAAGTGTCAAAGCTCAGATCCGGCGAGTCAAAGCTCAATTCCATGAAATACAAAGAAAATTAGGAGTCCATTCATGGAATATATATATATATATATACCTTTGGTAGCAGATTTCATAGAAAATACACATATATATATATACCTTTTGCAGTAACTTTCATTTTCTCTATGTGCTTGATTTCTCTGTCTCTCTCCCATGTTCGTTTTTTTTTTTTTAGTTTTCCATATATATATAGAATGTATCTATATGCATATCATGTTTAGTTTTGAGTTTAATTAATTTGAATACTCTCATCTCTATTCTTTGTCTTTATAGGTATATATATCATCAGATTTGAGGGGTTTTTTTTTGTTGTTGTTGATGACGATGATGATGATGAAGAAGATGAAGCCAAATTCCTTTTCAAATTGTAGGTATTTTTTATGATATTATCTTGCTCAAATTCAATTTATTTTTATTTTTATTTTTGAAATTCATTACTTGAAATTGTTGAAATTGATTCATTCATATTATTGATTTTGAAATTTTTAGCTTTAGAAATTTTTTTTTTTTTTGGGTGAATGTTTGCTTTTGTTTTGGAAAATACTTGCTAGGAAGGATGATGAGGGAGGCAGGGAGGGGGAAACGGTTGGTTTTGGTGACTTGGCAACTTTGGCAGCTACTAAAGCTTATGCCATATTTGACACAAGTTTTGGCATTTGACAAAGATAGCATGTAGCGATCCCAATTTTTCCACTTCGCTGAGTATGTCGAGGATCAAGCTGCCCAGTCAGCTCGCGGGGGTCCAGGGGGCAATGCTCCTTGGCGGGTCCAAGGGCAGTGCCCTGGCGGGGATCGAGCTACCCGGTCAGCTCGCGGGGGTCCAAGGGGTTCAGTTATTCCTAATCCACATGCAATGTCTACAACAATCACGACTATCCTCCACCGATAGCCCAAAACAGTTATTTCTAGACTGAAAATAAATATAACAACAATTTAATAGGTGAGTGGTTTAAATTATCCAACTACACAATTTAATCAATGAATTCCTCAATTTCGTGCATTTCACCAATTTCCCCAATTTCCTTAAATTAATTATACAAATTAATTTATTAAAACAACTAGGATTTTTCCCAAAATTACCAAAGTACTCCCAACATATCAAAATACCATAACTTAGAACAAAACTTATAGAATGGAGTAGGAAATCCCTACCTTGAAGTGAAGAACTCGAATGGATAAGATGAAGATGAAGACCCAAATTCCAAAGTGCTCCAAACCACCAAACGTTCAGATTAAATGGAAGCCCTCGACTCACTCTATCTTTTTAACAAAGGACTTAAACCAAAGTGCTCCAAACCCAAGATTGTTCAGATTAAATGGAAGCCCTCGACCCACTCTATCTTTTTAACAAAGGGCTTAGGGTAGAAATACACTCTAAGTAGATCAAACCTAAGAGAGAAGGTGTGTAGGGAGAGGGAGAAGCCGGTTCTAGGGTTTTAAAATCAAAAAGGAGATGAAAAATGATCCTGAAAGTCGGATCTCGGATTTTTATACCAGTCGCCCCGCTCGAGCGTGGAAACCCCCGCTCGAGCGCCACTCACAGACTCCCGCTCGAGCTGCCAAACTCCCGCTCGAGCGGCGAATGCACTCTCCCAGAAGTTTTTGCAGACAGGTCCCCGCTCGAGCGCCCAACTCCCCGCTCGAGCGTCACTCACGACTTCCCGCTCGAGCGTCCAATCCCCTGCTCGAGCGGCCAACACTACACAGGACATATTGGATGGGTGTATTCCCCGCTCGAGCGTCCAAACCCCCGCTCGAGCGGACAAGCCAAAATCTGGGCAACTAGACTTGGTTCCTAAGCTCAACCAACCTGCTCCAAAACTTCCCAACACAACCCAAGACTCAAAAATAAGAAAATAATGAATGACAGCAACAATTATACAATGACGGAATCTACGGAACCTAAGTCCGGATAAAATAATCAAATGGGAAAAGACCGGGGTCGCTATAGTAGCAGATTTCATAGAAAATACACATATATATATACCTTTTGCAGTAACTTTCATTTTCTCTATGTGCTTGATTTCTCTGTCTCTCTCCCATGTTCGTTTTTTTTTTTTAGTTTTCCATATATATATATATAATGTATCTATATGCATATCATGTTTAGTTTTGAGTTTAATTAATTTGAATACTCTCATCTCTATTCTTTGTCTTTATAGGTATATATATCATCAGATTTGAGGGGTTTTCTTTTTTTTTTTTTTTTTTTGTGTTGATAACAACAAAGATGATGATGAAGATGAAGCCAAATTCCGTTTCAAATTGCAGGTATTTTTTATGATATCATCTTTCTCAAATTCTTTTTTTTTTTTGAAATTGATTACTTAAAATTGCTAAAATTGATTCATTCATATTACTTGAAATCTTGAAATTCAAATTATTATTTTTTTTTTCAAATTGATTAATTGATTCTGAAATTTTTAGCTTTAGAATTTATTTATTTTTTGGTGAATTTTGCTTCTGTTTTGGAAAATACTTGCTGGGGGGGATGATGAGAGAGAAAGGGAGGGAGGGGAAAACGTTTGGTTTTGGTGACTTGGCAACTTTGGCAGCTGCCAAAGCTTGTGCCATAGTTGACACATGTTTTGGCATTTGCCAAAGATAACAGCTACCAAAACTTGTCATTGGAGAGCACTTTTCACTAACACCTGTTATAAAATGGCTTTGGCATCTCCAATGTGTAGACGTGCCCAAACGTCCCGGGCTCCATGCGCGAGATTGCCGCAAAATCCGTTTTGTTCTTAGCTACTACAGTTCGGACTCAATGTCACAGTTCTGGATCTAATCTCGCAAAGTGCAATGCGAGATTGATAAATCACCAAAGAGTCCAAATTCGGAAAATCGTT